CGGGCACTTTTAGCCACCCCACCCCCCCCGGTCTTGGTAGGATTAAAAGCTGTGGGTATACTGTGTTTTGCTTTAAATTTGCGGTCGTCAACAGTAACCAAGTCAACATGCCGTGGTACACTTGTCCCTTTCTCTGAACACGGAAAGCTTAAAACCTGTATTGACAGAGTTTCACGATTAATAATTTATCATTTCGAATTAGATATGATTCGTTTCAGAAATATAATGAGGAGTCACAAGCTCAAAACGCTGTCTCTCCTGTTGCTGTTTGTGACGGTTTTTGACGGCTGGGAATAAGTACCTTCAATGCGTGCTTCATAAATTAATACTTAATTTTGTCAGTGATCACTTTTTCTCACAAATTTAGATACCAAATCTCGACTAAAAATGCTTGTCAATTTACCTTTAAGCGTTGCCGACCGTCCTAAATTTACCGTCAAGCGTTGCTGGCCCCGCTGAATTTACCGTTGCCTGGACCTCCCCATGTAGACCCTCTTACAGCATGGTTAAACCTCTTATACTTCTATATCACTTTACGTCCTCCAAAAAGACACTGCCTGATACACCATGACGTAGTGCAATGTATAATAATGTATCCCAAAGGGTTCGCCCCACTCCCCCTTCATTTCATCATCGATATCCATATCCACTTTAAACGACAAGTTAACATGCATGCGGAAATGGTCACAAGTGATTAGGCTTAAAAGCTGTGGGTATACTGTGTTTTGCTAGCTTTAAATTGCGGTCGTCAACAGTAACCAAGTCAACACGTCCTTATAGACTTGTCCCTTTCTCGGAACACGGAAAATTTAACACCTGTATTGACAGATTGAGACAACTCGTGGGTTGTTAACTCTCACACGGATAACGTGCAAATAATCAGGCTATTCACCGCGGGTCAGGGCTGCATTCAAAAGAGTCGACATGAAAGACACGGTTCATTACCAGAAGGTAAAGACGTGAAGGTGTCAGGTTGGAAAAGGGGAAGGTCTGAACTTACGTCAGAATGATTGACATTTACTTCCTGCTTTCCAGCGAAGAATGCGTTCACGGGTAATATTAGTGGGTTGGACAGGTTCAGTGACGCACTCATCAGAAGTAGAGTCAAGTGCGTGTTTTAAACTGTGCGGTTTTACTCTACGATCGAACGTTACTTCTTACGGTACATGAGGGATAACCCGTACGCGTCCACAATGGACAAGCTCCTGATCGTTTGGTTCCTTCTAGTTTTGGGGTTGGTCTACTTCAACTTCGCTTCGGCCCAGCTTCGTGGGTAAGTACGTGTGTCCTTTTTGTTCGCACTTCTGAAATTGGCCAGGGCGCAGAGAGAGCGCTAAACCTCACGAAAAACGAGGTCAAGTGGAACCTTGACGGCGACGTTCCTACGCTCTATGCGCGACAAGAAACTCAAATGTAAGCAACGTTTTTGGCCGATCAATTTTATAAATAGCTCACTTAACGAATCACGAAAATAGAGAAGGAAATTTTGTACGTTTACCCTCTTTGAAAGTCATTTTTGCACATCCTCCATTATTTCTAGATTCATGAAATCAAGGGTGTAAGACCCCATTTCACTAGGCCGCTCTAACTGCGCTCTCTCTGTGACCTGAAATTGGTCGGAGCGCGCGGAGATCACCATGTTTTGTTTCCAATTGGCCAACATTAATGTCGGGGCCGTTGCGCGTTCTCAAGGCGCTCGCCGCGCTTTCTTCACGCTTTCGCGGGGTTCGTATGTGTATCGCCGTCCTCGGCGCTCGCACGGCGATGGTATGACCCGGTTACGTACCATCGCCGAGGTGATGGTGCTCATGGCGCTCTCATCGCGCTCATGGCGCTCTCATGGTGACCTTGGTTTGGCGGTACGAGCGTTCGTTTAGCGGTGACGCGAACGTTGGTATAACGGCCGTCTGCGAATGCGGTTTAGCGGCATTGCAAATGTGCTCCTGGTCCATTTCTCACCGTATTTATAGCCACATTATGGTCCCGCTCCGACACCTCTATACCAACGCCAAACCAAAGTTCATTGCCGACATGGATCGCTGCTTGAACGCCCGACACCGTTCCAGCAACCCCGTGTCCGCTCGTAAAACGCTTGCAACCGCTCAAGCGAAGTTTGTGCAACGTTTAGTGGTGGAGCGGGGTTGAACTTTGCCGGGGCGGAAAATTGCCCCCTCCTCACCTCTCGCAATATTTTGTGCAGCTCAAAACTTTTGGAGGGTAGGAGGGCCCCTCCAGAAACATCAGCGGTGGCCGGGCGAACACGGCGTTGCTTTAACGGGGGCCAACTTCTGTTAACGGTGGTGAGCGGTTTCGAGCGGTGATGAATTTTATTCACCGTTCAAGGAACGCTCCAGCAAAGTTTGGCTAGTGTGACCGGGGCTTTACAATGAGAGCAGTGGGAGAGTGACACGAAAGCGCCATGAGAGCGCCGTGAGCGCCGTGAGAGCGCCGTGAGAGCGCCTTGACAGCGCCGTGAGAGTGCCGTGAGAATGCCCTAATAGCGCCGTGAGAGTGCTGTGATAGCGCCGTTAGAGCGCCGTGAAAGTCCCGTGAGAGCAGCGCTAATGGGGGTAATTATAAGCACAATTTATACCTTAGTTTGTTCCCACAGCCCTGAAGGCGCGGTGTGCACTCGTCAGGCGTCCCGACAGGTCATGTACACTGTGGAGAACAGGAGAAAACGGGACCGTTCATCCGGCATGTGGGGCTACCTGGGGATGTGGGACGTCTTCGGGGTTAAAACGGCCAGGTTCGGAACATTTTACATTACAATTTCACACTTACTTAAACTGTTACATTGCCCATGTTCACATATTAGACAAATGTGACATTCTGTTTTCTGAGTTAGAAGGATATTCCAATTTGTTGAGACTACTTCAGCACTAAGGAAAACGTACATCTTGAGGAATTTTGTGAAATTATCAGTGCTGTTACACACACGTTAAATCCTCCGCTACAAGAAGAGGTTCAGCCTTCGAATAATTTTAGACGTGAACAAATCTTCATATTATTCAGTTCGCAGAACTGTATATTATCTATACTCAATGTTGTCTCGGTTTCTAAAAGCATGCGAATATAGTTTGGGTCCAAACTCGGGTCTACTTCCTCTAATTTGTGCGTTTAAGTCTCCCATGACAAGAAGGAAGTTGTGGCGAGGGCTTTTTTCATCATCTTCTTGGCGCGTGTCCTAAGTTAATTGTTAAATATTTGCCTGACGCCAGTGAGTCAAACAGACAAGACAAACAAAGAGCCCGCGGTTCGTGTGCCTTGAAAAGTGTTTACACCAAGACCAGCAGTAGGCAAAATTATCGGCGACTTCAAGCAAATAACAGGTGCGGAATGAACCTTTTAATCAGAACACGTTTTGCTTGATTTGGCCAGAAGGGTGTTCTGATAGACAGGGTGAAAATAACGACGATGTACATACTGCAAGGCTGAAGGTGAACTTTCCATGTCAAGTCAATATTTAAACGTGTGCTCTTTAACGAATTTTATCGATATACCTTTGTTTGGGGAAGGATTTAATTAAGCCTTTGTTTACCTGCGTTTAGTGACGTTTTCTCATTACGTGTGTCTTTGAGAAATTCACTTAGAGGCATGGCATGAACTACATTGTCAAATGTCTAAGCTCCATGGGCATTCGAGAAACATCATAGCGGGTACTCATGATCACCCCGTAAAACAGCATCTTTGAAATTACTTCGTTATTCGTCGACCGCTCATTCGCACAGACTACTTGTAATGTACTAAAAGCGTGTCGACACTACACCTAAAACGTCATGCTACGCAATTTATCTATTTACTTAAGTCTACTTTTTTCATACGTTTACCTTGTGCATGGAAGCTGTTTCTTTCTTCTACGGTTCATGTTGGCGTCATTTTGAGATCTGAATATTATCTGTCATATTTCTAAATAAATCTGGTTTGTCGTGGTTAGAAACCCCCGAAGTTTGCAGACTGTTTACGCCACGGAGTACTTCATTGACTACGAGTGTTGCGTGGGCTGGAACAGGATCGGAGACACCTGCCAGGGTGAGATATGAACTTTTCCAATCAATTGGCTCGGGTTCAAGAGGTCCAGGGTTCAAATCCTTCCCGTGCCACCGATTTTGTGCCCTCGGGAAAGGCATTTTACACGACTTTCCCCCACTTCACTCTGGTGTAAGCTTTCGTTAGGGACGTCCCTCGGATAGGAAGTTAAATGGAGGTCCCGTGTTTGGGGAGAGCCACACCCCACGAACGTTAAAAAACCCATCACACTTATCAAAAAGAGTAGGGGACCTTCCTGGTGTGAGTGGTTCAAACCTTACAGCCCGGTCTTACGCAGCTTGTACATGTACGCACATGTACAAAACTGGTGTATTACGCCTAAAGGCTGTTTACCGGCTATGCGAAACAAACAAACAATTCACTTTTACTATAATAGTTTAGAAATATATCAGCTCATATAAATCTTTTAAGATTTATATGAGCTAATATATTTCTAAACTATTATGAATTCACAAAAACAGAATATCAACTTTAAAAGTCCCTACAAGAAACCTTAAATTAAGATATTACAAGTACGCAGGTCCGCCATGTTGCCTCGCTATGTTTTTCGCTTACAACTAAAAGGCACACAATGCAGGGATTTTAAACCGTAATTTCAAACCCAAGGAATTGGACTTACCCAAATTTCAACTGCTCACCGAGTCACGTGTGCTATCTGCATAGCGTGACGTCACAGAAGCGATTCACTGCTCATTCTTGGCAAAAAATGGAGTTGAACAGTCGACACAAGTCCAGTACATTGTGATGAAAATTACGGTTATAAATTCCCTACATAATGGTGACACAGTGATGATGAACATAGAAAATTATGAACTTTCAAATTAAAATACAAGTCAAGTCAAAGTTTATTGCACAAAGATTGCCACGGGTACAAATAAAGTTACTAGTTGGTATGAGTCTATCATAATGCTACATATATGGTCAACGGTTACTATGTCTGACATAGTGTTATAAAGAACTACTGGCTAGAAAATATTTCAACTCTACACGTACGTTCTACACTAAACCATGCTTATGAAGAGAACAGTGAGCAGTTGTACCTATACAAAACATGTTCTATGACTATTAAACAGAGTGTGGACTAAATTACTTGAATGTTCCAATTCTACAAATAAATGCTACGATACACTAAAGTATATAGATAGATGATAAAGTATTTAGTGACTCTACTTATACAGCTATTCTAAGATTTCTTTTTTGCATGGCATTATAAATGTACTGTCCTATATATACAGAAAATGTGTCAGGGCATGACATAAGTACATGGAACGTCTCTCTACTAGATTGGGTAATGTACCTACAAGTCTGGTAATAATCTCATTCACTGATTTGCATCAATGACAGGCTAATGGACAATACTTTAACCCTAAACAGTACACCTGGGGTCCGCGCGGACCCCAGCACTATATATTCTATAATATCTTTTTTGTTTCTAAAGATTTTTTTCTGAAATTTTAGGTAATTGTCACCCACAAAGTTGTCTCTCAATACAGTGCAGAAAACTCCGTTTCTACCATTTATAAAAAAAAATTATATCTGATTTTCTTTTGGGGTCCGCGCGGACCCCAGCCGGCTTTCGATCATAATGGATACACTGGCGTTTTTATACATTAACTTATTTCCGTTTTTATATGTTTTTATGCACTCATCGTATGTCTACCAAGTTTTCAGAGAATGGTGTAGTAATAGAATTAAATTTTGATAACTTTGGTGTAATTATGACGTCATATGACGTCAGAGCTAATAATATAGTCCGCCATATTGGATTTTGACCAATGACGTCATCAAATTAGCATATTCTATGCATATTAAATGATTTTACTTATATTTAATTATGTAAGTGGTTATTAATGTTGGAAAAGAAGTGTAATTTAATATAAAACTCAGAAAATTTGTATGTTTAAACCAAAATTACTTCTATTTTCAAAAAACTGCCTGCTAGAAACCCGTTGCCATGGCAACACAAAAAACATCAACTTACTAGTATTAAACTACTATGAACTTTTTTCCAGAGACATTTTAGGAAAGGTCTCCAAATTTGATACTTCTAGCGCAAGCCGTTTAGCCGCTATCTGAGATCAAAGTTGGGCCTCAAAAGCCCCATCAGTCTGAAATGGGTTTAAAAATCGGATATTTCTTCTTGTCTTCTTTTCTTCTCCAAAAAATAGAAAAAGTTCAAAATGTATGATTTTTGTATGTAATGTGGACACAAAGGTTCCCACATCAGTTTGCAAAACAATTGAGCTGGTAGCATGTTGATAATTTCTAAAAATTAGCAAAAAACTGTTCTGGGGTCCGCGCGGACCCCAGGTGTACAGATTAATCAGTCCGGGAAGGTGTACTGTTGAGGGTTAAGACATTGAAAAGCATTGTTTTTATAATGTGTTATAGCACGGGCTGGTTAAGCCATGGAGATAAAGCATAAGCAAGTTTCATAAACTGTTTTTCATAGGGATAATATTTTCTCTCCTGCAGCTGACTGCTACAGCCCATGTGAACACGGCCTGTGTGTTGACACGAACGTCTGTGTATGTGATGAAGGCTGGGAAGGCCAGCAGTGTGAACACGGTAATGTTGTCTTCCCATCTTATATATTCCAATGTCATTAAAAGCAATTCACCAATTTCACACTTCCCATAATGCCTAGTAACGGTCACGGATATGACGTAAGACCACCCCCTCCCCCTTCCTCGATGTAATATTTCCAACAAGTTCTAGCGACAAACTGGTCAACTATTGTTTTGAATTATTTCTCTATTATAAAGCGCAAGCCATAATTCCATTTTTTGGAATTAGAGAAAATGACGTACCTTCTATCGTTCTAATATACGTAATGCGACCGTGCGAGTAGGAGAGTCTTCGGTAGAAGGTAGAACGATAGACGGCACGTCATTTTCTCTTATTCCAACAAAAATACAATAATGGCATGCGCTTTATACTAGAGAAATAATTCAAAACAATAGCAGACCAGTTTGTCGATAGAACTTGTTGGAAATATTACACCGAGGAAAGGGGAGGGGGTGGTCTTACGCCATATCCGTGACCGTTACTAGTCATTATGGGAAGTGTAAAATTGGTGAATGGGATAAAAACAAGACACTTCTGTTTCTTCATATACATGGACTTTATTGACGCAACAAAAGTACAGTGACTTTTGTAAGGTCTAAAACTGCGTGTAGACATACATGGGTGCAACGAAATTGACCTACGTACAAAACAATAGATGAGTCAACTAATACTACTTGTTCTAGGGTCTAAACATTGTTTCATATATTTACCTATTTGTACACAGTAAGGCTTATTACCTTCTAGGATGAAATTAAATCCATCTATAGCATGAAAAGTAATAAGTTCTGTTGAGCAAGTGAAGAGAAGGTTAAACAGCTTTGTGCGTTTATCGTTATATAGTGGACAATCTATAATAAAATGTTGTTCGTCTTCAATATCATTGGGACAGAATTGACAAAACCTCTGGTCGCGGGGGATTTTTTTAAGTCGCTGTACTTTGTTGCGTCAATACAGTTCATGTTTATGAAGTAAAAGAAGTGTCTTATTTTTATCTCATTTCATTTAATAATATTTGCACCGCAACTGTTGTTAGATATGTCGTAAAATGCACTCGTTATCTTTATGTAACTTGCTCTATATATAAGATTTTAATGGAAAATTAACAGATTTTATGTTATTATGCGATATTGCATGTAACTTACAAGTTGATTTCAATAAATCTCAATCTGAATCCATTAGTAGTATGAATGGGCAATCCCTTCGCCCATGGTCGTATATGTACACATATGTAAAGTGCATAATATTGATTAAGTTTACACCCTATGGCCTACGATTTGTCAAAAATGAATAAATAAATGACAACCAAACCGTCGGTCCATAGTCCATACTGCCTATGCGGTTGCCATGAGATTAAAAGCTGTTGTGGTGACTTAAGATTAAAAACCATCTGTCTCTTGCTCGACCAAATACGTTAGATATGAAAAAACGCATTTATGTTATTTTGATTGTATTGTATTTCATTGAAAGGTAGCTATTAGATGCCACATTTTACTGGGATGACTTTTCTGTTCAATATGATCTCGAAGTAGATTTTCCGGTAGCAACCGTATTAGGAAACTGTTGGTGAAGAGTGGAGCCCTTGCTACGAAGAGAATATCTACGTACTTGAGAACTATATATTAAACAAACATTCCTAGAGGAAATGTGATTTTTAAACTTTTACAATTTTTTAACATTTAAACTCATTGACAAGTAAATATTATTGCTTCCTTTGAAGCACGGTTTTTTTATAGCTATCCACTCATCAGCACACTATAGGCCACACCAATTTAATTTGTTGGTTCTCGGATTTATCCAGAAAAAAATATAAAGCAAAGGGCAAAAAAAATAAAAACAGGGTTAGGCATCCTATTATAGCCCCTAATGCAACGATAGGAGCGATTAAGTCAAAACAAAAGGCTGGGTTAATACTTAAACAATGACTTTTGAACTTTTAATCAAACCACTGCATTAAACCACTGCTTTAAAAACTGTATCAACTTAGAAGAAAATGACTTTCTTCAACTGTTGGGGGCAAAATATGAGCATTTTAAAGTTGATTCAATTTTTTTTGGCAAATCAGAAAAACACGAAGAGGCGAATCCGAGAACCAACAGATTAAATTGGTGTTGCCTTATCGTATCTCTGCAGATGTGGACGAGTGCTGGTATGAGACAGACGAGTGTGACCGTGAGAACGGCGCCTGCACCAACACAGAAGGGTCTTACAACTGTACCTGCAACGACGGGCTACACCTTATCAACGGGACAGTTTGCCATGGTAGGATAATAAGTCTGAAAGATGTCAAAAAATAAACTCTTTATAAAAAGGATTCTCTCATCTTACTGGAGTTTTCGTACTCTTTAATAATGAAAGTACATTGTGTTGACTACAGTATAAGTCAAAAGAATAGGGATTAGTATAAAAAATAAACTGAACATTTTGCAAATAGTAAGCTATATTATGAAATATTTTGAGCGCAGAAAATGTACATGTATTTAAAAGTAGAACATTCCACTCTCTTCCCTTAGAAATCCCGGACACGGACGAGTGTACTACAGACAGTGGCGGCTGTGATCAGAGCTGTCATAACACACACGGGTCGTACTACTGCACCTGTGACGCAGGGTACACCTTAGCTGCCGACAGACACACCTGTACAGGTAAGCACACACGTGTCGTACTACTGCACCTTTGACGTAGGGTACACCTTAACTGCCGAGAGACACACCTGTACAGGTAAGCACACACGGGTCGTACTACTGCACCTGTGACGCAGGGTACATCTTAGCTGCCAAAAGACACACCTGTACAGGTAAGCAAACACGGGTCGTACTACTGCACCTGTGACGCAGGGTACATCTTAGCTGCCAAAAGACACTCCTGTACAGGTAAGAACACACAACTCGTACTACTGCACCTGTGACGCAGGGTACACCTTAGCTGCCGACAGACACACCTGTACAGGTAAGCACACACGGGTCGTACTACTGCACCTGTGACGCAGGGTACACCTTAGCTGCCGACAGACACACCTGTACAGGTAAGCACACACGGGTCGTACTACTGCACCTGTGACGCAGGGTACACCTTAGCTGCCGACAGACACACCTGTACAGGTAAGCACACACAACTCGTACTACTGCACCTGTGACGCAGGGTACATCTTAGCTGCCAAAAGACACACCTGTACAGGTAAGCACACACGGGTCGTACTACTGCACCTGTGACGTAGGGTCTATCTTAGGCCGTGTTTAAGTGAAGTCACCCAAACCGCGATTCTGGTAACTCACATTCCTTACATCTGGTCCACGTCCCTCACACTCCTGTGAAACCGTGTCCGATCACAATTCGCTTGAGCTACATTTTTTGCTGTTAGATTATAACACGCAAGGTGTCGTGTTATTAATGTCAGAGGTCAACGACCTGCTTGCTGATGCCCCCCCTCCCACGCGTATCTCGGCCGAATGCCGACGTGGTCCCGCCAGAGGCAGTAAAGCTCGCCCTAGAACGGACAAATTATTTGACCATTACTGCTCTTTAAGTTGCTGCCACGTAAAAGTTGGTATTGCATATAAATAAAGAAATATCACTTCGTAATCCATGACCAGGCGAAGTCACATTGAAATCACATTGCGTTCAGGCGCAAATCGCGATGCGGGGAAACCGATTCGAAACCACCTCTAGAAGTGGCTTGGGATCGAGGCGCTTTCAGTGTGATTTGGAGCGTTCAGATGGAGCCACTTTAAACGGGCTTCGGGGTAAACCACAGGTAAAGCGCCTTGGGTGACTTACACTTAAACACGGCCTTAGCTGCCGACAAACACGCCTGAACAGGTAAACAGTCATTTGGCTCTTACTATGGCTGTTTAGATCGTAGACCACAGCAA